TCGAGAACGCGATCACGAACATAGCAGAGCGAACCGGTACGTGCACACGCGCCTGAACGAAAACTTTAATCATAAAAATTGAACGTGGTAACGGACAGCTGACCGCTCGTTCCGATAAAAGATATATCACTCGAATCTCGTTATATTTTCGCGGCTTAAAATATTTACAAGCCAGACGAACTTTCGAAACAATCTCGAACTCCATCTAAAGGAGTACCGTCATAAGTATATGACAATGTCCTCCCAGGAATTCCATGTTTTTTGTCAATGTTAAAAGTTTGAGGCACTAGAACAACTTTTTGTACATCTTTGTGAGAAATAAGAATATTATAATTGCAGTTTTCATTTCTAAATATAATTAATTACAATTTTAATACTATTAAATTACTATTACTAATTACTAATATTTACTATTACTAATTACTATTACTAATTACTATTAAATTATATTATAGAAGAATTATATTAAAAGGTATCAAATATTTCTAAATACATATTTCTAATAAATTTTATTTACATAAGGAAGTCATTATCTCCCTCTATATTCTAACATGCCCCAAACTATTAAACGGAAGCGTACATGTTAGTTACTACTAAAAAAAATATTAACTTCTTACCATATTAAGAACACAACACGTATCATTTGACTAAAATTGCGATCATGAAACGCAGATGGTGCAAAAAAGTGTCCCCGAAGAGCGAAAGTTGCGCGAAAAAGTGTCAGCCTGACCATCGGGTTCGATTCGATAAAAGATGGATGATTTGACATCGAGCGTACGACCGATCGATCTCCGAGCTGACGCGCTCGAAGATGAAATGCACCCTTGGCGACCTCGAAAGCGACCCTAACGCTTTGTAGAGCCGTGCGTTCTGCCCCCTTTTGCGAGCCAATGCTACTCGACTGGTTCAAGAAGCATATTTACGAGAAAGACGCGTGCCCCGCGTTGGAAGCTACGATCATCCCTTGGATACATCCGATTTCGAATACAAATTCCTCCATATGTAACTTGGAGAAACGGTTATTGGTTCAACTAAGGGTTATTAGGTCCGGTAGGTGAATGGATCCTTTTTTCTTGGTGACCATACGTCCCATGTGCGATCGCCAATTCAGCATAGTGAGTCATTTCCAATGAAAACCCTCTTGGATTTATTTATGCTGAACGTTAAAAGAATTGTAAGGAAAATTCTTGTAGATTTTATATTTTTTATATTCTGTGCAATAATATAAGAGATGGCTTTAGTTAGCGTTTAATTCTTTGCAGTCGACGTTTTACCCCAAGTGGTACATATTAAATAGATGTATTATTTCGGAAACTGTTCGTAATTTCAATGCTTTTTTATTATATATTCTTCCAAACAAGGACTATCTAATCTAGAATCCAATTTTCAATAAAAATAACAATTCTTATCTAAGAAATTTAGGGGTGAAGTATGGTTTAGTTTGCCTAAAGAAGGTTAATATCGTGAAAACTAGAATGCAAACACTTCCAAATGGAAAAGAAAGGGATAAATTACATGTTCGACTAACGTCCTAATAACGTTGCCATTTCCAACTTAAGGAGATTTAACGGGGGCATGAGCGAAAGTGGGCGAGCCACGGAGATTTATACGAAGGGACAAGCGCGAGAGTCGAAGAGGGCGCGAGGGGTTTCAGGTTTCCTCGCGGGGTTCACTGTACGATGGCCGCCGCGCCATAGAACAGCAGTACATTATTTCTTGATGTCAAATAAAGCAATTAGCATGTGCCCTGACCAGGGTCCACGGGTTCTAACCCGAGTAATCTCGCCAGGGTCCCTGGCGTGTGCGACATCTTCATCAGAGACGGACCCTCCTCTCCTTTCTCCGCCACTTTCTATCCTACCGCCCCCTTTGCCTGGATACTCTGCTCACGTGACTATCCTGCTGCCCCCGCCCCCCTAGAGACAAGGAGAAACCAAACCTCGCTCGAGCATCAGAGAAAGAGAGAAACATCCTCTACGGAGTGAAATTGCAGCGAGGAGAAGAGAAATGGTCGAGAAGGCGGTGTCCAGCTCGGTGCAGCCCGGTTCCAAGGGAAATTTCCACAAAGGTTGACCCGCTCTGTTAATGAATGTTGTATAACCCTTTTAATGCTTTAAGCCTCTTAGATTTTTCAGAGAGCTCTCGACGCGGCGACGAAGAAGGCACGCCTCTGGAACTCGCCCAGCCCACAGGACTCACCTCTCTTTTTCCGCTCTCCTGGTGTACACCAGAAGTGGTTTGCTAACGCCACGGGAGAAAAAAGGCCGAGCGAGAACGAGGAGGGTTTCGCCTCAGGGGCAGGTAATTATGTGGCGGACGTAAATTAAGCTTGTTTAGATTGGGATTTTTATTAAGGTCCTTTATGAAAGAGTGCTGCCGCTAAATGATGCCGCGAACATTTTAACCGACCGGGATCCCTGCGAGCGTTGATTGAAAAGGAAATGATGGCTTCTTTGCATTCATCGATCTGAATTTCTTTCTTCTTGTTTTATCAAACTATTAAATTATGGGTTGTCCGACAGATTCTTTATTTTTTATTTGCTCACAGAGGTAATTTAAAATCCTTGTTAAAAATAGAAAGAGAATATGAGGTTTGAATTCTTTCTGGGAGATCCCAAGGAAGTCGTAACTAATGATCAGGAAACGTGTATATAGCGACGGAGCAGAATGTACGTAACGACGTATACGGAAGAAATAACTAAGGGTTAGTTTAATCGTACTTTAGGAGTCGAAGGTTTTAACCTTTCTGTTGTCCCCCATTTACTAAGGGTAAGAAAAGACTGCAGTCAGTCGTATACCTAATGTCCGGTCCACTTCTCCAATATATGATACTGTGCAAAATAAAACTCCGCTAATCGGAACACTTTCGTCTCGATATTTTTAACTCCACCTTCTTTCCAATTCTACTTACTACTCTACTATTTACTTGTATCACTTACTATATTATTAATCTAGATGAAACGTTTTCTCTCAAAATTTCCTTTTATAACTCTTCTGTAACAAAAATTAAATTTGACAAATGAATAAGATTATATCTTTCCTGAAAAATGTAATTTTTTTCGAAAAAGGTTAATTTATTAATCGTACAGAAACAATGTTCATATCTGAAACCAGTTCAGTTTTAGGACATGTTAATTATACTTTGAAGTTAACGAGGGGCTATTTCAGTATAGCAAACAGCTAACCGCCTTCGCGCTAAGGTTTGTGTACCGAACTTCGGCAAAGCATTTCGCAGATACAAACTATTCGCTATATCGTAAATACGCATGCTTTCGAAGCGGCTGCCGTAGAACGAAATTCCTGGTAGAAGTTTAATTCATCCGAGCACCGAACCAGGCGTAAACGTTAAATGATTTGTTGAATACTTCAGCGCACATTTGCACACAAATCGAGAAATGATATCTTGTCCATCACATCGCTTATTGCTAGATATATACGGTATATAATATTACTTGCATGCTTGTAAATTAAATTACCATCGCGTGCTATTAATTCATTTTTCGCCTTAACTTATTAAAACTTTTAAAACTTCTGTTCTTATGGCTAATGTAAATTAATTTAATTATGATGAATAAGTTTCAAAAGAGATACTTATTTCTTTCAATTACTTTTATCTATGAACTAAAACTTCCTACTTTTTAATAACCGGTCTTGAAAAAAGTGATTTTTAATTTTTTTCTATATCTTCAGGAACTGAACAAACAGGAACAGAAATAATCAATGACAATTAGCGGACAGTCCCGGCCATTAACCTCGTCAAGCAAGCTTCCTTCAATACCTCCATCAGAGAGTACCGAAAATCGAGATTCAACGTTGATTTTCTTGGATAGCCTTCGCGAGTCAAGGCGAGGTAGGCTCTGCTCGCTCGTTCTCTCGATTAGGCTTTGCCGTCATTAAAAGTTTATAAAGAAGCAGAGCTACCAGTCTAGGCACAGAGAGTGTGTATGAGAGAGAGAGAAAGAGAAAAGTGGTGGAAGAAGTGGTGGAACGAGGTTCGGGGACGGGGGTGAAGGGATCAACACCCCACTTCGTTGAACGGGAGCGGTAAGAAAGTGAGGCAGACAACGTAGGAGGGGCAGAGATTCCAAGCAAGTTTTCTCATGTGCAATGCATAATGAGGAAAGGCAGACGGCGCATAAAGGGCCTACAAATGAGGCTCGGGTTATACATATACATTCGAGCTAGATACGTGTAACCAACGCGTGCAAACGTGCACGTTCACACGCACAAGAAGGCGCGAAAGACTCACGGAACCACCTCCCCACGTTGTGCTACACACCGTTACTACCCGCGACTTCTAAACGTGCAACCAAGTTAAAAAGTTCTCCCTCTGATTTTAGTTATCCCGTAGAAACTTCGGAAACGGTGCACTCGTAAAGTTCTCAGTTAATCTTCTGTTTGTGCTGCGCTCGTGTTAAGGCGTGCAGCGAACGTCGATCTTCGGATCATTATGTAAGATTTAGGGGATAGACGTTTAGACGACTAATGTAGGGCTTTCTTCTATGATGAATATTGCTTGTTTGATATGTTAATTTGATTGCATGTACATATGTCAAAGAGATTTTTAGTCCTGTAACAATTCTATGTTCTCAAAAATATTTGAAAAATCCAATTCTTACTAGATCTTAACAGTTTTGGTAAAATAAGGAATTCGTATTATGTACTATGATTAATTTTATGGGTTGTTAAGTGTTATTATAGCTCTGTCAATGAATTTCGTTCATGGTAGAGTTGTTAGTTGTTCGATATAGACCATTAAAATAATAGCCGTCGAAAATACGAGCACGTAATGACCGACGCATGCTGCATGAAAAGCGATTAAAGGTGTTGGATCGATTTTCCCTAGTAACTGACTCGCTACGCTCGCTGACTACCAATGCAAAGTGTCGAACACTATGTTAACTTGTTCGACATCAAATATAAACACAAATTGCTAGTAACCTGTATTTTATTTTATACTATCAATTAATTTATATTATTGAGAAAATACCTTGGCTTACCTTGTTCATGATTTGGCGGGGATAGTCCCGCCTTGTGTGGGTCGACGCTGTAACAGAAGGAAACAATCATTGTTTTCTAATAATTACTTGATTCTATGTATTATAATAAATGATAAATTAGATATAATCTTTTCCAAAGTCTTTAAAAAAGTCTATAGAATCTCTTTTAAATGTTGTGTGATAATTATTCAGAGTAAAAGTATTCCATAAATATTTTCCCACTAAATTTTTCATGTCACATCCTCGAATTACATTTCATTATATGAGATACGCAAATACTATTTCGTTCAACCGCGAAAAAAGGTAATCTTGCCTCTCGCTCGCCTTCTCAACCCTTTCCCTTATTACTGCGCCTCGTGACGCCAGCTAATGCACGCAGGTTAGTCCCCGATCGTGCACCCAGTCCCGCATCTTCGCCCCCAACCTTCTCTTCTCTTCTACCCCTCAACGGGTACCTCCGAATTCCCGTAATCTAATGAATGGCCTAACCCCAATATCCTCTCGGCTCAGCCTTACCGTCACTACCCTCTATGTACTTCGTCTGTATGTACCACGCATGTAAATACTTTCACGAACGAGAGATTCGAGCGATATCAGATCGCTCCGGTGCGTAGCGTGTTTCTTCAAAATTCGATTATCCTCCAGTGTCGATTAATTATTTTAACAAATAAATTATTTTAAACAAATTAATTACTTTGTCGAAACTATTTCCTCTCAACGAGCCCTCGTTGATTTGGTCAAGACGATCGAAACGGATGTCTAGTAATTTCATCCGGACATAATTTATCCATGATTAAATTAATGTTTTTCGGTTAACGAACAAACTCTTTACTACAGAGACACCAATAAGAGGAAAAATAAGAGGCACTGATTGTCGAGAAAGTCATGAACGTGTACGTTGGGCGAAACAAACAAGAAACGCACTGGAGACTTTGGAAAACGCGAAAGGGGACGGAAGAAATTAGTCGGAAGCAAATTGGCGAGAGTTGAAACTTTTCAATGTGCTTCGTTAGGTGTAGTGACCCAACCGTGCAGTTCACGATGGTGTCTGATCCAACAAACTGTACTGATCGCGACGAGGAAATGAAACTAAAACACCAGAAGGGTAAGAAACAAACAAAAGAAAAAAGAAGACAGAATTCGCAGCATCTCGTATCAACCGCATCCGCCGTCATAATTAAATCCAGACTTGCGGAACAACAGCTAATTACTCGACGGGTGGAGATGCAAGGCGAAGTTCTTTCGTCCAGAACGAGGGACAGACAAGGCAGGCTCGAAGCAACGGCGGAAACCCAGCTCTGGAACAGGGCAAGGAAGCGCAAATGTGTTTATTTTCAGGGAATAATAAAAAGGGTCGTCCAGCATCCGTGACGCGGCGGTGATCGTACGAAAGTTAGGAATAATGTTTCGGACACGACGTTCGTCTGGCTTTGCCCGAGAGCCCTACTACACCCGCTCACCCACTTGCACCCACAACCCCTCAAACCACCCTCTCCCGATCTCCAGCAGCCTGCCCTTATACGCGTGTCCGCCGCAGATTCAGACTCCTAATTAAGACGAGGGTGCGAGAGGGGTTTCAGGGGTTTCTCCCGGGTTCTCCCTGAAGGGAGGTGGGAGTGGGTAGTAGAAGTAGGGTTTTCACGAGGTAAGGGGTACCCGTACCGCGCCGGAGGGGTAAGCCAAGGCAAAGGGGGTAAGGAATATTGATCACGGGACCACCACGGCGGCGAGGCAGAGACTGGCCATACTCCCCCTCTCTCCTTCTCTTTCGCTCTTTCTTGTTCTATTCGCCTCTCTGTTTCGCCTTCTATCGTCTTGTTCCCAGTAAGTGTATCCTACGCTCTCTCGCGTGAGCGTCGACGTCTTTCGCTATTGCTCTTGGCGTACACGCGGCACGAATCAGGCAAGACCAAACCACCAAACGCCAGATGCGTGAAATCAGTCGGTTAGAGGCTGCCCCGCAGCCTTTGCGAATTATTGACGCTGAAACCACGACCGCGGAGCAGATGATGCTGCTAGCTGTTTCGAGGTTCGGCCTTAGGGAGTGCTGGTCTGTGACTTTGGCAACACCAGTGCCATGAATATCAGTATTCGCTGCTGGAGACTGTGACACCTTGTTGGTGCAAATTTTGTGAAATTTAATAAATAACGTATGTGGATTATGGTGGACAAAACGAAAAGTAATTAGAAGAATCAGGTCACAGTGAATGATTGTAGAATGATCTTAATATCGATTAATATGAGAGTTTTAAAAGTACATATTCTGGGGGACGATTCTGCAGATTATTGTATAGTAGGCCTATTGCTTCGACACATATTAAATCGAAACTTCGATTCAGATTTCGAGTATGCTCGCAACTTGACACTGGCATAGATTCCCGAGGCGATATCCTACAATGAACTCAATTTTCTGGGGTTCAAAGAACTTTTGTTCAAAACTATTCTTCTATCTTTCATATTGCATCGTTCTATTGCAATCTCTACGCCGTTGTACCTCGACATATAAATATTTTTTGTACAAACGATTTCATATCATTTAATAACTACGTAACTATTAAATAGAATCTTGAAAAAGAAACAAATCATCGAAAAAATACGAATATTGTAGAATATTCATTACGCTCATAAATTACAACCTTCATCAAATGACTCAAATTCACCACAAAATCCTGAAACAAACGAGAAGAGGTCCAGATATTTCTTCACGCATCAACATGCAGGTGAAGTCAGTTGAATGAAATGGCTCGGTTCCCGCACAAGATTGTGATATACAAGAAGAGAGAAACAAGGCTTTCGGACAAAGTTGGTGGCTCCTTGGGATCAAGGTGTCCTGACGAACTTTGACTCACACGGTCGGCCGAACAGAATCTACATTGTAGATGCGTGGAGCGTTCTCGCGAGATTTCGAATGATCTTCTGCAACGGAAGAAAGAGGAATGACTTGGCTCGTTCCCGAAACTACGACAGGGACACTAGGGCGACGGCCAAGCTCGAGTTTACACGACGTAGCGCTTGTCTTTCTGTCCGTCGCTCTGCCTTAATTAAATCTCTGGACCCTTCCAGAAGAACCCGCGCCATTCTAGCAGCGAACTAGAAGTATAATAGAATGGCCGCCTGATCGTCTTTCTGCACTGTCGTAACGCGTTAACATCGCCAGATTTTTTCTCGTAATTGTTACGAATGTCCATGCAAACCGTGAACCTTAGCGAAAGTGACTTTGTTTAAAATGACAGTGAAGATTATAGAGTGAAAAGCAAGCTAATATTATGATATATGGGATGAAATACTGGGACACATCACACAATTTTCTAGGTATATTTAAATCGAAAATTGATTTAATTTCTACATAATGAAGTTATAGACGAAGAAAAGACTAACTACTTACATATTATTTTATAATAGAGACAATGCTATATACAGTAGAATTCTATTCATCTGAATCTGCCGGAGGACAAACAAAAGTATATAACTGAAGTTCATCTAATAGAAGTTATCCACTATCTGTAATTTCTCACTCACCTAATAGATCACATTCTTCGTAAAATTTCATTTCAATAAATGAACTTCAGATAAATGGAGTTCTACCGTAGTTCCACACATCGTCACTGATTAAAAACTCCATAATCTACATTTATCATTCCTAGACCAGCATCAAATCTTCAGCCAAATGACTACTATTGCATGACAAGAAGTTATCGAACAGCCCTGCAGGCTACATAATGGGCGATTGATCTATCACGGATAACGTCTTTTCTGAGTTCGCGACCTCTTCAGAGATTCAATGCAGCAGCATTTTCATGGCTCCAGGTGCCGTTATTCGGTCCGGTAACGAACGTCAAGGGCGACCTCGACGAGGCCGGAAGAGATCTCATTGTCCAGAAGCGGAGGCCACGATAGGAGGGTTGCGCACCGCCGGCAACCAGCCAACTCAAACTTTGATATGGTTTCCTAAATAACCAAGGCTACCGATACCGCAGCACGATAGTCCTCTCTCTCCCCTCGCCCACTACCTACGCCCTCTCGTCCGCTTCTGCATCCACTTCGTCCGATCTATGGCGGGTCCAGGGTGGGTATCGTAACTACTGTCGAAGCATATTGAAACCCTCACACCAACGATGACCCAACTTACCCCTCCGTCCCTGTCGCGTTTCTGTGCGCCACGTAATCAACACACACCAGTGCTCTTCGTCGCGAGAACCTCGCCGCGAGCGTGCGTTTGTCGTTTCGCGTGCGAAGGTTGCCCGCATGCGGAGCGTGGTCGATCGACCGCGAATACAGGAATGCTTCCCTCTCTCTCTCTCTCTCTTTCTCTTCCTTTTGCTTTCGTAGCATAGACCGCGTCTGAGCAATTTGAAAGCGAAGTGACAGGCAATCAAGAAGGTAGACGACCAGCTAAGGACAGCCAGAGTAAGAGAAAGGGGTGCAGAGGGACACGCGAAATGACCGACGATTTATCCGCGTGAGAACGAGCCAAGAATTTGGAATTAAAATCTGCGGTCGTAATTGTTCGCGAACGAATGTTGAATTTGGAATTGAGATGGATAGAGGGCTACGATAGGTTGCATTTTAACGAGGGCAAAATTCTTCCTATCGCCTGGAATATGTCAAAGTATTATACGGGTCGCTCAGAAACTAAACTGATCAACTTTACTTTTTCTAGTTTCTTTACTGAATTACGTACGTGTGCGATCAATTTCCGAGATCGAATGATTTACTTCCTCCTGGTTCATTCATTGTAAGAGGGTGACATAAATGATGATAAATTTTTTTTTGTGCTTTTCAATTTATGCAATGGTCAATGTGTTTTCTGGATGGTACATAAATCCTGGTCTCACCAAGTGTTTCTTAAAATTAATCTACAAGAAATATCTAAAACGCGATATGTAAAACTCAAGTATAAACAAGTAGAATTAGTCTATATGGAGAACTATGGGGAACCCTTTTTGCTGCTCAATGTTTATAACTTCATTATTCCTAGTGTGGCAGGATGGAAGTGTACGATAACGATCGCGAATGAATTCACGCGTGCAGGGGTTTAGAATATCTT